AAAAAAATTTTCAAGCAATAAAATGTTTGAAGCTGGCAATGTTGCATAAAAAAAACCCCACCTACAGGTCACTAAGGTCAGGTTGCTGTCAATAACTGTTTATCCTTTTCTTCATAAGCAAATGCGGTCTACTTGTCCAATTTTGTTTGGGGTTGGAGTTTACTGCCCACATACTGCACTTTGTACCTGCAAGCCCTTCGACTTCACAACCATGTAAGCATTAAAGAACAGCAGTGATGAATACAAGTGTCAAATACAACATAGGTTGGCTCAGCTGACTACAAAATATGTTGTTCTATGGTAAAGGTTCTTGCTCAGACTACATATACAGTGGAACGCCGCTATAAGGAACATGACAGGATCCACGCTAAATGTTTGGTACAGCGATTGTTCGGTATGGTGAAATTAACTGCCAAACATTTCGTTGCCAGGTTGAATAGCGCCCTCTCTTGTCTAACTGCAGTGCGCCCTCTTGTGATACTATGATTTCGCTATTTTCGTGATTTTTGTCGTTGCATTCATGTTTGGGGTTTCTAGAAATGTATCTGTAAATTATTTAATTCTTATTAAATCTTGAGTTACAAAACTGATCTGGAAAAGTCGTGAAGCTACTCGGTTGATTTGCAACTGCATAATGTTCAGTAGGTTTTGTGCACAAAATATTGGGAGCCAAGGACGATGTTTGGTACAGCCGAATGTTCGGTATAGCAGTGTTCAGTATAGCGACGTTCCACCATACATGCATGTAGTCATTGTAGTGGCAATCCGAAGGCAGCATGCTGCACTAAGAATGCACACCTATGAAAAGCGGCAGAGAATGCACCAAGCAAATAATTAACTACTTGTACACGTAGTTGGACTCAGCTTGACCTGTTAATGTTTACTCATTCTGTTTGCAGTAGCCGGGGAATACCCGCTTTGTCATCTTTGCAAATGCTGTTTTATGCAATGATGCCTAAACCAAGTCGGCGCACTGACTTTATCTGAAGAACCATCACCAGACTTCATAAACATAGAATACCCTTCAGGCCAGTTTCAACTAGAACTGCAGGTACCAGGAAGTTTCTTTTTTTCCACAAAAGGAGTAACGTGACCATCCACAGTATCAACCTGAAATATCTGATAAGTTATTATCCAGTGTTCAGTTTTTTCTATCAAAACCTGACGTGGCATACGTTGGACTACAGCTCCAACCTCACAGTTGATTTCTTCTTCATTTTCTAAGGCAGTGACAAGTAGCTGAATATCCTTCACATGGCTCTTGAATGACTCCACTGACTGACCAAGCAATTGTTCAAAACTCCAAGCGGATTTCAAAGTACTGGTATCTGGTAAGGCTTCAATCATCCCATCTGGACATTTGTGCAAACTCTTCAACCACAACTACACTGTACCTTGACCTTTTGGCTAGACACCACCCTCAATCTCTCAAAATCCTCCAATATTTCTTGAATATGCTCCTTTGAGGGGTGCCCACTTTCTCAGTCCTTCAAGATCCTCTAGCAATTCCTGTCATTGTGTTGAGGCAGAGTGAATGGTATCCTGGAGCAAGCATAATCTATGGAAGAGGTTCTATTTCTTTGCTCTGCGATCTACAACTTCTGATTCTGATTTCTGATTTTATGCTCCAACTGTTGTATAGAATTTCCGCAGCTTTTCTCACATCCAACTAAAACCATGGCAACGGCTGCCGAGATTCTGCAGATCATCAGTGGGAGTCATCTAGAATGCTCCATCCGCTTCACCCGTTTCATTGAACCAAAGGCGCTGGACTGCTTACACAATTTTTGCCTGGAATGTCTCAAACATCACAGAAATAGCCAAGATCCATATGGCACAAAAATCAAATGTCCCCTGTGCAGACATGACACCACACTGCAAAGTAACAGGCTAGAAGATCTACCTACTAACCATGCACTGAGCACTCTGGTGGAGGATGTCGGAAAGCACGAACAGCTTCTACAAAGTCAAGGGTCAGGGATCAAATGTCAAACCTGTGACAAGCAAAATCAAGCAACCTCCTTTTGCATGGACTGTGTTAGTTTCTTGTGTGAAGATTGCCAAAAGAAACCTGAATGCATGGCGACATTAACATCTCACCAAACATACAGTTTAGCTCAGAATCAGTCAGGAGAGATTGCCTCCAAGGGCAAAAGGACCAAAATGTGAGAGGCACGTGGGTCGAAATCCTAACATTTACTGCTACTCGTGCCAGCAGTCAGTTTGCGCACTTTGCTCCTCCAACGACCACCAACAGCACTCCACTGTCGAACTGTCCGAGGCTTTGGAAAAATGTAAGCAAGAGGTTGTAGAACTCCAGGTGAAGGCAGAAAAGAAGAAAACCAAACTGAGCAGAGCAATGGAGATCACAGCACAGTCCCGCAAGAAACTGGACACCATGTTTAAAGCCACCAACAAGAAGATCTCCCAAAAGGCCGCTAGGATCAGAGAGATGGAGCAGAAACTGAAGCAAGAGGCCAAGAAGATCTACCAAGACAGAGTCAAGGTGTTTGACTCTGCATAAATAGTATCAATAACACGCAGCTGACACTAGCAGAGCAGACATTAGATGAGATGACCGAGATCCTGGCGCAAGAAATCACGACAGAGATATTACGTCTCGAGGAAAACTTCCTGCACTACCAAAGAGAACTGGCAGAACAACAGCCACAGATTGTTGAACTTCATTGAATTTCAAGAGAGTGGTGAGAGTGAGACCACACTTGGAGAGCTGACTCTGAAGGATGAGAGGAGGTCAGTGGAGTCAAATTTGACACCGGCGTCGGGGTGGAGACTAGAAAGAAAAATGAAACTGGACGGGAGGCATGCAGTTACTTCTGCTGCAGTTTTCTCCAATAATGAAATAGTCACAGAGGACAGCACATGCAAACAGCTATTGAAAAGACCCCAGCCCTGCACTGTGCCGGTTTGGGGAACAAAAGAAACTTATGTAACACCACACAATCTGGGCTCTTTTTACAAGGGAGCAAGCGCGGCTGAAATACTCGGGCATCAATAGATGTTGTCTGTCAGATTAGAACAGCCACCAGACAGACAGTAAATGAAGTAATGATTTTTTGAGGAATTTCAAAAACGGAAAATCTTGAAAATCCCACGGTTTTATGTCATGTAACTTCAAATTACACCCGGCAGCAAGTGCTTGTTTACCAAATTGTTGAACTGCATTGACCATCAGGAGTTGGAGATTGTGGAATAAATTGGATACTGGGTTTCAAATATTGAATTCGTTCAATTTCTACGCAGTAAGTAAGAATCTAGGATCACAAGATGATAGCTTACTTTGTAACGTAATATTTTTGTACTTGAGCATTTAAAGGAGAGCTGCAATCAATTTTGTTTTAATACAAACCTTCAAAATGCACCTTTGTGTCTCAGTTAACCTTATGTTTGACTTTTGTTTCACTATTACAAAGAGTATTTTACTGCCTTTTGTGGCTTTTACGCTGACAGGGATTTTCATATTCATGAGCAAAATAGTGATGTCATCCCAGGAAGAAAGCCTAAATGTTACATTAGTTTGTAGCCAAAAAGTGCTGTATTTTTGTAGTCAATGCTGGACCAAATTTTCTCTTCTTTGAAGATTCATTGTTGTTCATGTGCATACATTTCTTGAAAATGTTTTCAGTAAGTACATGTAGCTTCTGTGTTCACACTTTTAATAGAAAAACCTGTGTAATGAACTCTGTCTTCCCTGGATGAAATCACAGCAACAGCGCCCTCACTTGTCCTCTGAAGCACAGATAATTTTAAGTGTAAACATAGAGAGTTTTCATACACTGAAGAAGAGTACAAAGATGCAGAAAAATTGAGGCTAAAAAAAATTCACTGCGGCTACACTTTAAGTGACAGCTATGCGCACACTTAATAATTCTATGCTTGTATATGGCCGACAGTTCTCTCACAATAAGGACTGTGTAATATTATATCAGTGGGTCATTCCATAAATTTGCCGTCCAAAAGTGTTCCATTGTTCGTGTCCCTATTGTACCCGACTGGTTAATTTGCCGTTTAAGTATCACTGAAATTGACTTCACAATATTTCTTTTATTTGTTTGGCTAGTACTTTGGGTCACTCTTGGAGATAGAAAGCATTAAAGAATGTACTTGAATTACAAAAAGCTTAAACATGCCAAGAGGGACGCCAAAGCTGGACTGCAACATTATGGAATCAACCTATTGACCCTGAATGTACAGTATGTAACCTAGTAACTGTGTAGATCTAGATGTGAAGAAAGTTAGTTACAAAATACAGACACTCGTATGGATTCAGAAAATGCACATAATTTTCTGAACAGAAAAGGCATTGCTAATTAATAAATATATATATTCATTGTGAAAAGTCAAAACTACTGAACTATGTATCACTACAGGTATATTGATTTACCAACGAGCTTTTGTCAAACAGATCAAGAAAATTTTCTCTTTGTTGCACAACAACCAAATAATTTTGACAACGATCACATGATGAAAAGACCATGTGTAATTCAAGCGGCATCTTGTTCAAATTTTCAGCCAAAAACAGGTTGAATGCTGGTTGAATAAACAGATGCTTTTATAATAATTAATTCTGTGAAAAATGTGTAACAACAGTTGTTGAACCATCCCATGTTACACAACAAAATGTGAGTAATCCATTCACAAAATTTACAGAAACAAGTTGAAGTGGCATCGTGGCAAAACCAAAGTCCACACATATTTGTTGAAAAATGGTTCAGGCATACATGTACATGTAGGATAATTTTATGTCCTCAAAATGCTGGTCTTGTACACAAACAATATCATGAAACCAATGATAACATTCTGTTTAATTAATTGTTAAATTAACTTGTTACATTAGTTTAGTTCACCGTGAACTGGTGACCTGCAGAAGATAATTTTGTTTGGGGTTTTGCTTTGTTTGAAGCAGTTTCTAATCCTTGTTTTTTGTTTTGATTTTTGTAAATAGTTTCCTTGCTTCCATTAACTACAAGCAGAAGGGATGTCTTTTTTCTGTTTATACAAAAACCCCCATATTTTTTATCCTACACTTTGTTTAAACTTTCAGTCCAATGCAGATATTTCTGGGTGGCAATTTGCAATGAAAATATCAGATCGGCCAGGTTGCCATCAATCAACAAGTTTGTTTAGCCTCATCACAAGGACAGTGTGCATTTGCTGGTGTTCTGGACTTTGGGACCATCGACTCTCCAACACTGTGATTATGCAAATGTCTATCAACAGTACACAGAAAAGTGTGGCAAATATTAACCAATTTGGCTCAGCCTGGAATCATGTGATCAAACGGTACCTGCTAGTTCTAAATATAGAAGAGAGATAACCACATCATCATCTTTGTGAAAGCTGCTCTACGGCAAAACATCTAGCATATGCCTAGTGGAAGCAGTAACGTTACCACTGAATGACATGCTTCAGATACCGCCAACTACGTACACATCAGATAGTCTCAACGTTAAGTCTGTAAAAGCAAGCTCTACTTTTTCCTCCAAAGAGATAGGTAAGAACATTTCCAAGACACTGTATCCTGCTCTAAGATTAAAAGTGGTACATTGGCCACCAGGATTTTTTTTTTAATTTTGCAGGTTTTCTTCACTTTGCAGAGAAGCTAAGAGTAAGATTCGCACAATCAGCCGTTGAGGAGAGAATTAACGCCTTGTTTGATAGATTTTTTAAAATCTGAAATGTCACACAGTGTTGCGTGTTCATATTTGCACTTTAGTGCTAGATGTTTTACAGATTTCTCTGCATCATACCGGAAATAGAATGAAATGCCAATAAACACCTTGGCAAAAATGAGTTGTTTCTGTCAGTGAAGAATAACACCTCATAAACAACATGGATATTTTGTACAAGAAAAACACACGTCTTCCATGGGTAGGTACTGAAGGTAACCAGGATATGGTGCTAACATACCGGGACTGTGTCTCACAAGGCAGCATCTCAAAAGCCTCTAAAGTTGGGCCGGTGAGCATTCCCCACATCGAGACAACGATCCACTTTGCACATAGACTGTTCTGAGGCAGTATTCCGGTTAAAATGCTATATTGCAGTGCAATGGTGGCCATCTGTTCCGAATCATGCAACACTGTCTGAGACTGCTCCTTCAAGACTGTAACTGCTACCCTAAACAAGCATTTCTATTTGCTTCTTGAACAGATCGGAAGAAAATCCACAGAAAATTCTGACATCGAAACCAGGATAATGGCAGCTAGCAGAAGAGCAACGTTTCCCAAGAAGTTTAGGGAGCGCCAACTTGAATGCTCCATCTGCTGCAACCGTTTCACTGAGCCTAAATTTCTTGACTGTTTGCATACGTTTTGCTTGAAATGTCTCCACCATCTCGAACTGGGCAAAAATCCTCAAATTCTGAAAATTAAATGTCCCCTCTGCGGGCGCAACACCATGCTAGAAAGCAGTACACTCGAAGATCTACCTACTAATGTGACACTGAGTGCCCTGGTGGAGGAGTTTGCAATACTGGAACAGCTTCTACAAGGTCAAGGGTCAGAGATCAAATGTCAAAACTGTAATAACGAAAACCCAGCGGATTCATTTTGCATGGACTGTGCTCATTTTCTTTGTCAAGACTGTCGGAAGGCCCATGGGCGCCAGAAAAGATCCAAATCTCACAAAACCTACACAATGGCTCAGCTCCAATCAGGAGAGATTGCCTACAAGAGCAAACTAAGAGAAGAGCCAAAATGTCAACAACATCCAGATCAGAGCCGTAACATTTACTGTGAAACGTGTGAGCAGTTGGCATGTACAGCTTGCTCTGTTTTGAAACATGAAAAGCATTCGCGTGCTGATGTATCAGAGGCATTAAAAACATGCCAACAAGAAATTACAGAGTTTTTGAAGAACACAGAAAAGAAGAAAACAGAACTGAAAAATGCAACGACAAAAACAGCCGAGTCTCGCAAGAAATTGGACACCATGTTTGAAGCAACCAACAGGAAGATCTCCCAAAAGGCTGACAAGGAGGTTGCTAGGATCAGGGAGCGGGAGCAGAAACTGAAGAAAGAGGCCAAGGAGATCTACCAAGACAGAGTCAAGACACTGCAGACTGCTGAAGATGCCATCAACAATGAGCTGACAGCAGCAGAGCAGACACAGGACATGATGAAACAGCTCCTGGCTCAAGAAATCAAGACAGAAATTTTACATCTCAAGCAAAAGTTCCTGCGCTCTCTCAGGGAATTTGTAGAACAGCAACAAATAGTGCCAGAGAAGGTGCACTTCATGGCCTTTCAAGAGTGTGGCGAGACTGAGAAGACACTTGGGAGACTGATTCTGAAAGACGAGTGGAAACTAAAGCAAACGAAAACAGAGGGTGTAATTAATTCTGTTGCAGTTTTCTCCGATAATGAAATAGTTACAGTAGATGGTGGATACGAACAGTTGATAACTTATTTACCAAAAACAAACCCCCAAACCTCTTTCATCTCCCAAATGCCACACATTACAGATATAAAAGATCCAGTCAAAGTTGTAGTCAACAGACTAGACCATCTCATTGTCCTAGACGGTCCTGCAGTCAAGACCTTCAGCAGAGAATATCAACTCCTCCATCAGTTCCAGCCAGGAACTGATTCAGACAGCCAACCCACCTGCCTGGCAGTGGATGAGGACAATCTGATAGCTGTGGGCTACATGGCTAAGGAGATGATCAGCCTCCACAACCCAGATGGAACCCTCATCAGGAAACTAACGGCACCAATGATTGAAGATCAACTGGTTCTAAGCAACAAGCGGATCGTCTACACAAACTGTGATATGTGTAAGCTGGTATCCGAAGATTACAACGGTGGCATGGCATTCACAAAAGACATAAAAAGCCCACTGAGTGTATGCTGTGATGGACAAGGCAACATCTACGTTGCTAAAGGTCTCGATTCCTGGCAAAGTGAATCCAACATTCACGTCTTTGGTAGTGATGGTAGGCACAATGGGTGTGTCATTGCACACTCAATGCCTCCCGAGGGCATGATGTTCATGCCAGCAGGTGATTTACTATTGGGTGGAAAGGATTTTTTGCACGTGTATCAACGCGTGTGACTACGGGTGTTGCTGGTCCAAAGGTGACCAAGGAATTTTAATCAAAACTTTTTGAACATTTTGTAGCTCATTCGTAACAGGTTTCCAAAATATGGTATCCGGTACCTATAAAATTTTCAAGTGAACAAGAAATGTGCGACTGTCTCGCAATTGGTGACAAGCGTACTGCCCACAATTTGAAAGCACAAAATGATCAGAAAATTGGAATATGGAAAATCGATTATCAGTAAAAAAGAAGGAGGGATCCTTGAAAGTTTTTACTCAGAATGATGATTTGCAGTAACAAATTTTAACTTGGTATACAGGACAGCATTTCCTAGTAAATACTGAAACGTGTTTTGAACCGTGGCTGTGATGGGTTTTTATTATGCTCATGAAAGAAAAAGTATTCAGCAAATAACTACTGCCCCTCAAAGCCAAACTACGTGTCACATTTCTTCAAATCACACTGTTCATACAGAGAAGTTTGACTCTGGGAGTCAATTTGATACAGAGAGTAATTTTTACTCACTTTACATCACATTCAGACTGGTGCGTATATTTTCTGACAGAATGACTGTCAAGCTGTCCGGTGGTCTGGACCAGAAAAGAAAATTTATTCGAATAAACCAGACAAAAAGAGCAGCAATTTTGGTTCAGCACCAAGTTTAAACGAAGATGATGTAGAGAAATCTACCGGTAGGGTGAACAGTTGAAGACCGTGATAAACACCCTTTTTTCCCATGACTACGGCCAAAATCCAATTTAACTGCATTACAGAATTTAAACTGCCTTGACTTGAGGGTCAGGTCCAATGAGGTAATGAGGGCTGAGCAGTAAAATGGATATTTGGGATTCAATGATTGAAAAGATTCAAAACAGTACAGGATCTAAATTAGTTTAGTTCATAAATTGTCATTGACATAGCACGTAGCTTTTTCTTTGCGACATAAAACTATTGCACTCAGAATATTAGCGACGACTTATTAAAAAACTTGAAATACATTACATGTCTATAAAAAATTACATGTGTAAAAATGTATTGCATCATTGTTTTACAAATAGTGGAGGATACAGTGTACCTACATGTAGATGAGTTGAGATTGGGATATCAAAGAAATAAATTCACAGTTGCTAGAACTGTCAGTTGTCAGAAAATCACCCAAATTGTATGGCTAGTTTGGAAGAAAAACCTACCTGTACATGTACCTGTTGGAAACCGTCGTTTGTCTTTCTCGTCAAGATGAATGAAACAAAGGTTACGAATGTTGTGAATTTTTTTGCATATGTTGTTTATCATGAGTTGTAGCAGTTTAGCATTCTAAAATTTACAGCAAAAAGCCAAATTTAGTTTTGCTAAAAATACACAGTGGGCTTGTTGAAAATCTTCTAGGCTCATGAAAAGAATAAGTTAACTTGCCTGGAGGGCTGGTAAAAAAATCAATAAATCAAAAATAAAGGTCAGGTCCTGAATTTGACAATCTTTTTATCATAAAAATGCCACCCACATACATGTATAAATGGATACCAAGAGCAGAGATTAGAAGCGTGAAGAGAGAAAACCTCACAAGTACACACTCTTTGACTCACTGACAATGCATGTAGCAAGCATGCAGCTATTTACATGTCACCCTGTTCATTCAGGTAAGGTAACAACTTGTGACATATGGTATAATGTGATCCGCTGGAAGACTGAGGGAGGAAATAACTTTAGCATGTTTTTGTTGTCTCTGTACCATTTGAGTTGCAACTTCAAAGTACTTGACAGAGAAAAACAGGCCAAATTAAGCAAGAGAAAGTAGACCCAACTGGCCTAGTTGTTTGCATGAGACACTTTTAAAGCCTGCATTCAACTTCATAACAGGTGAGTCTTGGCTGTCTTTGGTTTGTTTTTTTTATGCAGTTGAAAAGCAAATCCAACCAACTAAAATCAAGCAAATTACAAAGTGAACTCGTGTCGAAAGTTTTCAAGCAAACATGTATATGTGTCTATCTGTATTACGGATTCCAGTGCTTAATGTACTACTGACAGGTGGACTCTACACTCCATCCATTCATTCATTCATTCCTACAACTGTTAAGTCGTGGGGGGAGGGACTTGAAGGCAGAAGCTACTGAAGTTTTCTACACGCTGGTCTGTCAGGGGCCTGGGTCAAGGTGTCCTGTAGAGGCATACTGGTCCATTCCTTGATGTTGTCTGACCAGCTCTTCCGTTGTCGGCCTCACTTCCACCCGCCCTCAATGGTGCCTCGCATGATAGTTTTGCAGAGGCTGTCATGTCGTACGATGTAACCATACCAGAGAAGTTTCCATCGCTTCACAGTGGCAAGGAGTGGTTCTTGGGACCACCAGGCTCTTGACTTTGTCCCTGACATACTTGTTTGTCTTGTGCTCCAAGTAGGAGAGGCTTAGGAGTATCCTCAGGCATTTGGTTTCAAATGCTTGAATTATGTTCTCGGTACCTGCCAGAGAGGGTCTATGACTTGCACCCATACAGTAGAATGGAGAGCACGAGTGCTTTGTGGAGCCTGAACTTAGTTGGGAAGCCGATGTTACTCCTCTACACCCTGTTGAGCCTTGCCATCGCTGCAGTTGCTGTGGCGATCCGGATTCGGATTTCTGCCGTGCAGGAGCCATCTTTGGACTGTGTAGCTCCCAGATATTTGATGGATGTTACTTCTGCCAGAGGCTCGCCGTTAATGGTGATGTTAGAACTGGTGTTGTTTAGGGAGTTCACCATGACCTTCGACTTCTCCGTGATCACCTCCACACTGTATGTGCTAGCTCATCTGATCAAATTGTTCTTCAGGTCTTGGAGCTCTTGGTTGGAGCCATCTATGAGGTCAATGTCATCTGCGCAGCGGGGGTTGAAGACTGGTCTTCCTCCAATGGAGATGGAGGTGTGGTGGTCGTACAGGGTGTTCAGCATGAAGGTAGGTAGAGGTTGAAGAGAACCGGCGGGAGCAAGCAGCCCTGCCCAATGCCAACTGTTGTCTGGGAAAAACTCACCAAGCTGGTTGTTCAGGAGGACTGCGCAGCTGGAGTGCCGGTACAGGGACTGGATGGCCTGGACGAGGCCTTCTTCTTTGTTGAAGTCTCGGAGTACACTCCATAGACCTTCATGCCAGACTCTATCAAAGGCTTTCTTGAAGTCCATGAAGTTGTGGAATAGTTCCCGCTGGTGCTATAGGTGCTTCTCTATAGTTATTCTGCAGTTGAAGATCTGTTCCAATGTGCTTCGGCTGACTCTGAATCCTGCCTGCTCCTCAGACAGTACCTCCTCTGCCTTCGCCTTCGGCCAGTTGAGGATGACGCGAAGCATCACCTTGCTGAGGTGGCTGATGAGGCTGATGGTGCGGTAGTCCTGGCACTGCCTGAGGTTGCCCTTCTTTGGTAGAGGGATCACTAGGGACTGGGACCACTCCACAGGCCATTTCCTCTCCTCCCAGATCTTCTGGCAGAGTGTGCTCAGCACCTTGACTGTCTCACACATTACAGTGCAAAAGATATTTACTGTAAATATTATTCAATAGATGCCTTTTTTATTTTGTTTCCAGGTTGTGCACAGATGTGTGAACTGTACCAGTTCTTAGCCTCAGCAACAAAATATGGGAACAAGAGGTGTAGCTGATTTTCAACGAAACATCAGTGAGTGTCATCTAGAATGCTCCTTCTGCTTCAACCGATTCACTGAGCCCAAATTTCTTGACTGCTTGCATACTTTTTGCTTGAAATGTCTCCACAATATCAGTCAGAGTGAAGATCCCCAAATTCTAACACTTGAATGTCCTCAGCGCAGACATGAAACCACTCTGGCAAACAAAAGGTTGGAGGATCTGCCGACTAACATCACCCTGAGTGCCCTAGTGGAGGAGTTTGCAATTCAGGAACAGCTTCTACAAGGTCAAGGGTCAGAGATCAAATGTCAAAGCTGTGATGAGCAAAATCCGGCAGCTTTATTCTGCATGGACTGTGCTTGTTTCTTGTGTCAAGACTGCCAAGAGGCTCATGGCTGCTTGAAAATAACAAAATCTCACAAAACCTGCACAGTGGCTCAGCTTCAATCAGGAGAGATTGCCTACAAGAGCAAACTAAGAGAAGAACCAAAATGTGACAAACATCCCCAAATGACTCTTAACATATATTGCAGCACATGTGAGCAGTTCATGTGCACACTATGTCCTTTTTGGGAACATCGACAACATTCTCATGCTGACATATCTGAAGCTTTTGATAAATGCAAAGAAGAAATTGCAGAACTGATGGAAAAGTTTGAAATGAAGAAAAAAAGTTTAATAATACCAAGAAAGACACAGCCGAGTCCCGTAAGAAACTAGACACCCTGTTTGAAGCCACCAACAAGATGATCTCCCAAAAGGCCGACAAGGAGGTTGCTAGGATCAGGGAGATGGAGCAGAAACTGAAGCAAGAGGCCAAGGAGATCTACCAAGACAGAGTCAAGACACTGGAAACTGCTGAAGATGCCAACAATACACAGCTGAAAGTAGCAGAGGTGATACTGGATGAGATAGACAAGCTTCTGGCTCAAGAAATCAAGACACAGAGTTTACATCTCAAGCAAAAGTTCCTGCACTCCATCAGAGAACTGACTAAACAACAGCCGTATGTAGTGCCTGAAAAGTTGTGCTTGATTGACTTTCAAGAGTATGAGAGTGAGAAGTCACTTGGTAGGCTGATTCTAAGGAGAAAACTCTACTTTGAGATTTTAGAAAGAAAGAGCACTGTTTATGAATGTGGTGGCATCTGTCGCATTTTTTTAAACTGGCAGCATGGTTCCACGGTAACAGTTGAAAGAAATAAAGTTGAAAAAAGCCAGTGAAAGTTAGTTTTGCTGACAAATACCCACTCTTGTGAAAATTCCTCTAGGTTTGTTCCTGGCAGGCTAGTTACTAAAAAAAGCCGCGAGTCAAAATCTGACATGCATTCTTTATCACAAAATGCCAGATATGTGCAAGGATGACAGGAGGCATAGCTGTGTAAGCCAGGCTGTATCAGGTTCATCGACAATGGCAAACTGGGGTGGCACTTTATGGACTAATCGGGGGAAGGTGAAGCAAAAGAACTGCAGGAGCTTCCATAGCAACAACAACTGCATCAGACACAATGAGTAGGGATGCCCATGTTGGGAATTCAAGGACTGCCTTGCAGTGGAATCACGATTGGCCGCTCGTGTAGGTGTGTTTGCGCATGCGCCAAACATTTTGAAAATGGTGCCCCTCATTATCTCTTATGAATATTAATTTTTAATCCCTTGGGAGATAAACTTGAGACGACTCTCCAATTACATCCCCTCTTTCCAGTGACGACATCGTATCTGGCGGCTTCTAGTCACCCCAGTTGCTTAGATGGATTCATCAAAATGATAAATATTTTTTAAATGATAAAAATTATTCCATTCCAAAGTAAATTTATGCAAGGTCAAATTTTCGACACATTTTTGAATAAAATCGTTAATTTTTTCAGTATTTGTCAGAAAAAGTACGGATATTTTTAAAACCGCATTTTTTACAGTAATCTACCTTCTTAAATTTGGTGAACGAGGGTCCAGTGTTCATTATTTTTGCTGCGGGAAGACAGCTAAAATTTTTTTTAGTCATGAAAACCCACCCTTA